TGCTTGATTTTTCGTAAAAAAAATACTAATTCTGGTCATCTCCCTGGATGGGCGTATTTTTTTTAATTTTCCCCGGGTGTTAAAAAGCTATGATCCGGCGCTGTATGTAACTAACATCCGACTTTCTGTTTAAAATATTGTTTACCTACTGTTTTTGATTCAATATATTATACATACTATACTAAATCAAACTGTTCAAATACACACACAATTTGTTAAAATAAATAAATAATATTAATAGTATCAATGACATACTGCAAGTTAGGTTAAGTTAAATTATACTTTTATTAAAAACGATGTAATAGATAGGTATGTATACTAAACATATTATATTTTTTAACAAAACAACAAAAATGGCAATGTACCATATTCAAATGGATTTTAATATTGACATCCCTATGATTAATTTTGTTAATAACATGCACTAAATAGCCTTGATCTGATCATAACAATGATCACATATTTATTTTCTTGGAATTAATTAGGTACATTATGACAGTGTAATTTATTATGACACCTAATTGTGTTTATAATATGTTTTTATCATTTATCATACAATAAACACACATTTATATAAATATATAGGTACTTTGGGATTTTCTATTTTTTGTAAATTAATGAACTTTATAAATATCGACTTAATAATCGAATTATCGACGCACACTTTTTTACTAACAAAACGGGCTGGTGCAATATGGATCATAATTACACGTTGAACAAAGTGCGCTGATAGTCTAGACAATCGATTAGGTAAATGGTTTTTTGACTTCAAACTTTTGGACAGACCCAAAAACCACAAAAAAGAAGTGTAAAATATGCGTACTTACACCGTTGATGACTGATAGCTAGACACTCAAACTTTTAAACATTCCCGCCAATGCGCCAAGCTTTATCTCCAATCCATATCACTAACTCTTATCACAAATCCTAAACTTTCATCTTACGACTGTCGCTACTTTTATAATTGAAACGACTCTTACTCCAAAATCGGTACCCCCTTATTCAGCGAGTCTCATAAGCCAACTAGAATCTATATTTTTGATTATTCACTATTATCTGCTCAACTAACGGGGTCCGCAATCCACCGCAGGTGGAGTGCATACCTGATAATATACGCTTCGCATATTGCTTACCGGTGTGATTTTATGACTGATAGCTAGACAATCAAATGCACATATCGACTCTACACTTTTTAACAATTTCAACAACCAAAAGCATATGACAAACGCCTAGAGATCCTAGAGATCGTAACCATTTACAACGTTCGTGACGGATTGCTAGACGCTTAAACTTTTAAAAATGTACGCCAAAACGCCAAGCTTTATCTCCAATCCATATCACTAATTCTTATCACAAATCCTAAACTTTCATCTTACGATTGTCGCTCCTTTAATAATTGAAACGACTCTTACTCCAAAATCAGTAGGTACCCCCAAATTCAGCGAGTCTCATAGGCCAACTAGAATCTATATTTTTGATTATTCACTTATCTGCGCAACTAACGGGGTCCGCAATCCACCGCAGGTGGAGTGCATACCTGATAATATACGCTTCGCATATGCTTACCTATGTGATTTGATGACTGATAGCTAGACAATCAAATACACATATCGACTCTACACTTTTTAACAATTTCAACAACCAAAAGCAGATGGCAAACGCCTAGAGATCCTAGAGATCGTATCCATTTACAACGTTCGTGACGGATTGCTAGACGCTTAAACTTTTAAAAATTTACGCCAAAACGCCAAGCTTTATTTCCAATCCATATCACTAATTCTTATCACAAATCCTAAACTTTCATCTTACGATTGTCGCTCCTTTAATATTTGAAACGACTCTTACTCCAAAATCAGTAGGTACCCCCAAATTCAGCGAGTCTCATAGGCCAACTAGAATCTATATTTTTGATTATTCACTTATCTGCGCAACTAACGGGGTCCGCAATCCACCGCAGGTGGAGTGCATACCTGATAATATACTCTTCGCATATTGCTTACCGATGTGATTTTATGACTGATAGCTAGACAATCAAATGCACATATCGACTCTACACTTTTTAACAATTTCAACAACCAAAAGCAGCTGACAAACGCCTTGAGATCCTGGAGATCGTATCCATTTACAATGTTTGTGATGGATTGCTAGACACTCAAACTTTTCAACATTCCCGCCAAAGCGCCAAGCCTTATCTCCAATCCATATCACTACTCCTTATCACAAATCCTAAACTTTCGTCTTACAACCTTTGAGACTTTTATAATACCAACGGCGTTGTCTTCAAAATCGGTACCCACTCTCAGCGAGTTCCACGGGCCCCGAGTTTCACTTAGAGCTAGTCCTTCCTAATATATAAAATGACAAGGAAATCAGCTGTCTACAAGCAACCCGTGGAACGGAAAACGCAGTTATAGTGAAACCGTGGAGTAAGAAATGAAGCACCGCTCCGTTTCCCCAGCCCGCCGGCCATGTCCCGTCGATTCCTTATAGCGCGACCAATCGCGTACCTTCGCAGCGGCGGCGGTCGGTTTTAAAAAGTTTTTCGTTATCACCTCTTTTCCTATAATTCGCCGATTTTTGAAATTTTTGGAAAATTAGCTGTTTTTACACGATTTTGACCCTTTTGGTCCTTTTTTATACTTAATTCGAAGCCGCCGGTGTGCGGTTTATATTCGTGCGCCGTCCGAAGCGGTCGCAATATTGATCGAAAAATACACTCTCGACCGTACTTTTTTGCCGATTTTTTCCTTTTCTCCCACCGTTTCGTCTATTCGCACGCCGTTTGTGCCCGAATCGTGTAGTCGACGTCTTTTTAAAGCCGTTTATATGGGCTTTTCCCCCGAAATCAGTTCGTTCGCCTCGCAATCGCGTTTATAAATTACGCCGTCGACGGACCGACCGTACGCGTATACATGTTTATACGGGTATAATTCAATTTTTCCCTATGATTTAATAATTATTAACGGAAAACGCTTTTCACACGCCCCGTTAAATATATATATGGGAGATGCGAGTATTACAAGCAAATTATATGCGATTACATCGATGATCATCGAATATATCGGTTTACGTCGCACCGTAGACGCACGGCTTAAGAGTTGATGTTTTGCCTATATTTCATATCTCAAACTGTGTCCGAGTAGGTTAGGCGTTAGGTAGGAAACACTAGGTCCCGGGTTCGAATCCGTGGTACGCTCTCCGGGCGTCGAAAATGTAATTCCCATATGGTTTACACGGCCGCCCGAATCCCTATTTTTTTGCATTTTTTTTTCACTATATTTTTCGTATAAATTAAATAATAATATAATAATAATACAGGAACATTATTATTATTTAAAGTCATTGCCATATTATATCACACAATAAATAGGTACATATTATATTTGTTTTATTAGGAATTATTAAAATTGCATATTTTTTCAAAATGTCCATGATTGTTATACAAATATAGTTTGTATTTTATTTCGGATTGCCTACCTAGGTGGCTAATTTGAAAGTTAATCTTGATTTTGACTTGGCATAACTGACTTGCTAGACAATCCAACACGGTTTTCGACTTTACACTTTTTACATAAGAAAAGGCACCGGACATGCGAAGGCACATACCACTAGATGTGATATACCTACTATATATAGGTGATAGACGGATTGCTCATTTTAGTTTCGTCTTAAACGGTGATGATTGACTTGATAGACACTTTAACATGCAGGTTTTTGAATTTTTTTTTAAATTAATATATATACACTATAGTTACATGTTTATATGTACCTATTGTATTGGTTAATATAATAGCATGTATCTAACTATCTACCTTTATGTTAATTTTTTTTTAGGAATTATAATTGCACATTTCTTAAAATGTTCATTGTTATATTATATCACACAATAAAATATACATATCATATTTGTTTGTATGTATATTGTAAATAGTTTGAATTTTTCGTAAATTATTTCGTAAGTTGTGTGATAGGGTTTTTACTTATAGCCGCTTGATGTCGGGTCCGCAATCCACCGCAGGTGGATTGCCTACCTGATTTGCTGTAGCACATTGTCCGCGATCCGACGAAGTCGGGTTGCCTACCTAAGTGGCTAACTTGAAAGTTAATAGATTTTGACTTGAGATGACTGACTTGCTAGAAACCCCAACACGGTTTTCGACTTTACACTTTTTACATAAGATAAAGCACCGGTCATGCTACGGCACATACCACTATATGTGCATGTATCCAGCCTATCCATTTACAACGTTTGTGACGGATTGCTAGACGCTCAAACTCTTAACATTCCCGCCAAAACGTCTAGCCTTATCTCCAATCCATAACACTAATCCTTATCACAAATCCTAAACTTTTGTCTTACAACCTTTGCGACTTTTATAATTCATTGTCTCCAAAATCGGTACCTACTCCCAGCGAGTCCAACGGTCCCCGAGTTACACTTAGAGCTAGTCGTGCTATAAACTAAAGGGGTGATAGCCGATAGCCCTAAAAAGTAGTTGACGTCTATGGTTGCCATTGATAAGAATCGCGGTTGTGTATTTATTATTTATTTACTCTATATTGTTGTCACGGCTTTAGATAGAATCTATCTAAGGCCGTGATTGTTGTGTGTCCACAACCGTGATTAGAATAACTGAATATGACGTCACGTTGCGGATCAATCTATGATATCAGCATAATTGAATAATGTCAGTGGCCGCTGCAGCTGCTGGCCAGTGCATAATAATCCTTATCCATTAGCCTTCACCGGATCGTTTCGTATCGCGATCTCTGATAGTCTGATGACTGATATGAAACATACTGTTAACTGTGTTGTATAACTGAGCTACCGAAACAGTTGAAATCTGTGACTTGTGAGCTGTAAGTTTGAAGTCGAACTCACTGTTGAACGCTGTGAAGACCGGGCGGTGACACCTTCAGTGGCCGGCACAATATCATCTCTTATGCGGCCATACTTGGTGTATCTGTCCTTTTGATTTACGTCGACAAACCCTGTGAAAATGGCTTGCGACGACGACAACGATTTCATTCGTGGCATATTTTGCCCTCATGTAGCCGTCTTGTGTTCGGAAAAGGCACAAGAAATGTGTCGTAAAAACAATTTGAGCTTCAGCGATTTGCTTAATCCATTTGCTCGGTTGACAGACGGTAAGTACACCCAGGAAATACCCTCATACCTTTCCATGACAGTACTTAATTAAAATACTGTGCTTACAGTTAATTTCAAAGACACCAATGGTGGTATGATAAATGTCCCAAATCTTCAGATAGTGTTTTCCAACATGAACAGCCAGCCCTTGTCGATCACCAAGGAAAGAAGTCGCTTACATGATTCTGTTAATATAACAACTGAACCAAGCAACATAACTGTCAAAATTGGTAATGACAAATGCATTTTATATTATTGTAATTTTAACATCTGTAATCTGACAAAAATTTACTGGATAGGTGGACGGGAAATCACAATACCTGAAAATACGCCATGGTTTACTAAGTGGAGAACAACGTTTTTACAAATTCAAAATGTCTCAGACCATGAATATACTAAACATTTTTTAGGATGTATCCTTTACAGAACAAAGTTTAATTGTTTAATTAAATCAATATCAATGTTTAATTTAATACATTTTTGATCAAATAATTTCTTAACCAATATAAAATCAGGTATGATAGTAATAAGCTCTTCTGATGAAGAAAAAGTGTCATCATTGACACAGCAAGTTCAACAATCAATTTTACCAAATCAAAATCAATCACCTAAATGGTTTCATACCACTATATTAAGATATTATGTTGTTTTACATGAAAGCCTTAATCCTGATTTGAGCATGTAAGTTATTATACATTTCAATCAGACAATGATAAAGAAAAAAATATTGGTTGTGGGGGAATCATAAATTAAATATTTTCATTGTCAATCTTTAAATTGAAAATTAAATTGTGCACTCATTTGTAATAAATTATACATGCAGAGTATACACTTTTTTAAATAGCTGTGTTGAAAAAAAAGTATCATTTGGAAACATTTTGGGGTAGAGGCTACGGCTAAAATGCACTTTACCACGCCCCTTACGAATTTCCAATTTTTTTTTAAAGACTTATTTTCAATGCTGATTTCGAAACTGTTTGCGATAACCATTATTTTGGAAGTTATAGCCATCCAAAGTTTGCGGTTTTATGTTTATACTCATGCTCGCAACACTCCTTTAATGTAGTGCGGAGGCCACCGGACTAGGCAAGCAAAAGGAGCCACTATAATATCCTTATGTTACTTCAACAGACTTCATCTAGTCTAGCAACCGGAGCCGATAGGCGACGGGAGGTCCCTCGAGTTTAAAGACCAGAATAACTTGTGTTACTTTATTACAAGGTTCAGTATACTTGTTAGGTTATCCGCATGCCCGTGAATCTAAATTTGTTTTAGACACTGTGCTTGGCAGTAAAGTAGTGTGGCGCGCATGCGTATAAACGTAAATTTGCAAACTTTGGAAGGCTATAACTTCTAAAATAAATATTTCCGTGAAAAAATTCAATCAGTTACAAAATTAGCATCAAAAACAGGTCTTTAAAAAAAATAATTGAAATTTGTGAGGTGCGTGGTAAAGCACATTTGGGCTGGGGTTTCCATAAACATGCCTCATATTTTTTTTTTATATTCCTAATAAATAATAATGAAGGTTTGGGACTTCTGACTTTTCCATGTTTTTCTGTTGATATATATAAATTTTTTTTGTAGAATGGTAAAATTAAATATAAAACTTGGCTTTGCATATTTCAAACATTTTTAGTGCAATAAGTGAAAAGTCCTGATCCCTAGTAATGATAGTAACTACAGAGAAACATTGTTTCATTTGATGTAGCTTATTGACACTTTTGAAAGAAGATTAATATTTATTATTTTTATTTCAGAGCTAATAAAATTATTGAAACATTACAGTCAACATATGGCCATAGTAGTTGCCATCTCCTTAGATTAAATTCGTGTAAATCTCCTAAAACCGAGTTAACTGAAGGAATATGGGATTACTTGAATAATTCATTTAGTTTAAATGATAGTATAGATTCTCATGATCAGAGTGGAGAATTTGAAAATAGTTTGAACTCTGTAGATAGTTCTTTAATACATCCTCTAAGTCCACAAGAATATAACAAGAATTTGGATAGTGAATCAAAAATGGACATTCAAAAAGTATATGGTGCTTATTTAGATGAAAATGATCATAACAATATACGAGATTTAACCAAACATTTTGTTTCAAGATCACTAATACCATATATTGAATCTCAAATACAATCTTTAAATGAATCGGTATACAAAAATATTTTTGACCCAATGTTATAATTATTATATTAATTTTTCTTCTTAAAGGTGACAAACAAAAAAGGTGTGAGTAGATCACTTTTAAGTGCAACCAAAAGATGGTTTAGCACAAATAAACCTACTGCAGCAGCCTTACCAGCTACAGTTAAGTCAGTATAACACAACTTAATATGTTTTATAATATTTTAATAATGCATTATTATTTATTTAGCTACACTAATGATTCACCAGAGCTTCAAACCCGACGTTTAGCTGATTTATATATGATTTTGGGTGCCTGGTCTCTTGCTTTTCCATTATACCAGGCAGCCAAAAGAGACTTTAGTGCAGATAACGCTTGGATGTTATATAGTGGTGCTATCGAAATGGCTGCTATTTGTGCTTTAATGTGCCCTAGTGTATGTGACAATCGAAAAGCCATAGAATATGCCAATGAGAGTGTATTGACATATTTGAATACTTGCAGGTCTAAAGTACAATAAAAAATATTGTTTATGTACTTTTTATAATTAACTGGTAATTTATACTATATAGGGTTCCACAATTTGCAACAAGAGCTACAATACTATTTTGTGAATTATTTGTCAGCCGGGAAATGTATGGAGAGGCTGCTAAAATGTTTATTCAGATGACAAATGAAGACTCAGATTTACGTAGTGCTCTACTTTTAGAACAGGCAGCTTATGCTTTCCTGAAATCACAAAAACCCCCAATGTTGAGAAAGTATGCTTTTCATATGGTTCTGGCTGGACACCGATACTCAAAAGCAACACAAAGAAAGCAGTCACTAAGTTGTTACCAACAAGCTTATCAGGTTGAAAGTCCTTGATAAATCAATTAAACCAGTTCATAATTATAAGTAGAAACTGGGGAAGTCACTCTGGTGTATGGTAGATTTTAATTTTCAAGTATACCTTGGTCATTGATAAGGGTACTGTAATAGATGTGTAGAATTTGACTAATATTTGATAAATTTTGTCATTGCATTCCATAAATATTCTGAGCAGAAATGTAACTATCATAGAAGTTTATTCTATTTTGGTCAAAACTGTATATTAAAATGTATAACATATAATTATTACATTATAATATATTCTTGTTATTAACTTATAAGTTATAAGCACGGATTAATATATTAATCTAAACATACACATAAGTAATATTATAATTTAGTACCTACAGTATGCTAACAGTCAACCTTATATACAAGGGTCAAGGGACCTATAGACCTAAGTCTCATGCCACTGTTTAACAATATCAGATTCATTAATAATTATACCGCGTGATTTTGTACATAATTAATAACAATGATGTTTTCGTTGGGCAATATGATGATACTTTATACAATATTAAATTATATTCAACAAATATACAGTAGAACAGTGTAAATATTTTCACCGTTCATGGTCTAAATAATTGAAATTTAGTCTAGAAAGTAGAAACTACTCTTGAAGTTGAAAGTTGAAGCATTTTTGGCATTTTTGGTGCTCTAAAAGGAATATTAAAGAGGAACAAAAGAGAAACACTGATAATTGTAAAACAAATATTTCTATATGGATTAATAATTATTGTTTTCATTTTATAGGTCTTTGAAGATACACATTGGACATTAGCAGAAGACCATATACAAACAGCTATTGGTAGACAGGCCACATTTTTAAAACACATGAAACAAGCTTCTGAAGCATATTCCAAATTGCTAGCAAGAGCTTCAAGTCAACCACCAGATCAACAATCTACTATTCTTAGAGATTATTTGAACATAAAATTGGTATACTAGTTGATATTTTCCTCATTTACATTATTTCAGATGGATTATCGTTTTATAGGAATATGCAGCAGAGAAAAATGACTCGTCGATCATAGATTTGGCCCTACCTCTCATAGATCAGAAAAAAATCAAGATATTGTTAAATGCAGACAGTATAATAACTAAAGAACATAGTTTTGATGAAGACTTGTTGAACCCAAGGTGGTATAAAATGGAAGAAGATTTAATTACAGAAGCTCGTGGAATACCTCCATTAATATTTAAGCCAACTTTTGCTTTCTATGGTAGCAATGATGCAATAAAACAATTATTGTATGTGAATGGTAAGATATTATTTATTTTAATTGAATTCAAAATAGTAATTTAAATTGGTTTCTACTTATATTAAAATGTACAATGTATATTTGTATCAACAGAATTAGTGCAAGTACAAATGACATTATCAAACCCATTAAACATATCCTTATGCATTGAAAACTTATCATTGACATATTCTTTTGATAAAGAGATAAATTTGGTAGAACCTCAAGTGCTAGATGAACTACTTTTAGCGCCTTCCAGTACAACACAAGTAGCTTATATATACAAATAATAAATGTTTAATGATATTCTTAAACTTTTTCCTATGTATTACCAGGTTATTCTTGGACTGAAAACTAAAAGTATTGGGATTCTAACTATAACTGGTGTTCAGTTTAGCTTATTGATTCCATCAATTATGAGTGATGACATAGTCAAACGAGTAATAAATGGTTGGCAACGTTTTGAGATGTTGAGTTCTATACAATTCAATGTTCAACCACAAACTTCCTTACTAAAGGTAGATTATTTATACATTGCTAATAATTATCTAGGGCTCTTGACTTTTTGTGCTTAAAATGTATTGTAAAAATATTTTTATTTTTAATTATTCACATTTAAATAGTTTATAAATGTACAATAATTACATATTGTAATATAAAAATACTCTAAAAGTAGTAAAAAACAAACTATAATAAAAATTAAATTAAATGACATTTTTTTTTGCGGGGGTTGGTGGTTACTACTAACTACTGTAGGGTTGTCAGATTTCTAAATTACCAAACCGGAACAATCATTGAATAACTTTTATTTTTTTTTTGCTTATATGGAAATAAATACGTACTTATATCCTTTTTTTTATTTAAATATGAATTTTGAAAAAATAAATGAAAATAAGAACCATAATATATATTATACAAATAATCATTTTTAACTGAATGTAAAAATAATTTATTTCTTTTCCTGTATAGATTAATGTAGAACCAATATTTTAGTTTATATTTAAAATAAGAACAACCTGTAGGTACAACATTATATCACCGGGAACCATATCTTTAATAGTCTAGTAAAGTCTAGTTTTCTCTCAGTTTCTATTAACTGGAACATACTTAATGACCGGCCAGTTTATTATTGGTTGTCATTGGTTATTTGGGCAGATCAGGTACAAGCATGCATCAAATTAAATTTTCGCACATTGTCTACCAAGGTTGGTAAGTAAGTTGCACTTACTGCAGTGAATTACACCCAAAAGGAGTTGAACAATCACAGTTTTTTTAAGAGTTGGTCATTTTTTACGGGCAGCCAGTATATATTATATAATATTTTTCATAATTTAATAACAGGTATTTTTTTGCATGTAATGTTAGAAAAATTCTTGATTTCTCGTCTATATAAATACTAAGCTCAGAATGATACCTCTATTATCCACCTATGTATCACTTACACCAGGTTGGTCAACCCCGTGGGTGTCGGTGATATCGCTGTCTAATAATACAAACTATACTACGGGTTTTCTTGGACTGAATAAATAAATAATAATATTTTTTTTCTTTTGGCGGCCCCCAATATTTATTTAATATTAATATAATGTATATTATGAATCTGTAAATTGGCCTGCTTAAAATAATAGATGGATTAAGGTTTTTTATTATTCTAGTATACGGCTGACTAGATACTAGCTATAGTGACTAAGTCATAGATATCAGTATTAAGGAATAATTTATTTATGTCATTATGGTTGTTATCTATACTTAAATTATTTGTTTTGTGTTACATTACTTACATAAAATAAATTGAACATTGTTTTTTTAAAATAATGTTTTGTATCTTGATTATTTTGATAATGTATAGTATTATAGTTAAATGTTAAGTGGAATGATCTAATAATTACATTATAGTATTATACCCATTAAAGTTTTAGAACTGAATACAAAAATAAATTTCTTATAATACATTATTTTTTAAAGTTTTTATATAAAACAATCTGTTTTCAAAATAAGTCATTAAGTTGTGTTCTTATAATAATAGAAATAATATAAAAACAACTATGAGATAAATAATATTTACTTTGTGCATGTTATTGGGAAATCATAAACCAGGAGTCTCCAATGGAGTCCCCGGAGAGGTAATAACTAGGTTGCCAAAAATATTATTTTCAATGCTGGTTTTCACCACATAATTGATATTTGATCTATTTAGATGTATTTTGGCTCCACATGCATTTATTATATGAAACTTCGTTCTCCAAAATTACGTTTTTATAGAATAAATATTATTCAAGATTAACATATATATTCAAGATATCCACCTTGAAAACAGTCCTCGCGTTAGTGGTTCTCTAAGAGTACTAAATTTTAAAAACTGGCTTATATTATATTATATTAAATAATTTGTTTAAAACAGCTTAAACTGTATTTTTAACACAAAAATAAATACATTAGGTAATTATTAACTAATATTTAAAATTTTTTTTCAAAATATCTGTACTGTCATAGACTTTAATTTCTGACCATGGTCCTAAACAGTGCATGTTTGGACAGTTAAGTATACAACACATGGGATATTTTAATTATATTAATAAGACAAAAGTTGTTCAAAACCGTTCACATTCAAACTTCATTGTACATTAATATAATATTGTGGCCAAGGCTGGGCAAGTTAACTATTTTTTTTAACTCTTTAAATTAAGTTATTATAGAAAAATGTAAGTTAAGTTTAAAGTTATTAAGTTTAGGAAAGTAAGTTTAATTATACCTAACTACCTATTTTGAAGCCAATAAATAACATAATAATTCAATAAATCAATAAATGTCTTATAATTTTTAAATAAATGTTTGTAATTGTAATTTACTGTAGGTGCTTATATTTGTATATAATACTTTACTCAATTATGAAATCCAATAAAATAATTGTTATGTATTTGTTAATTTAAATGGTCCAGAACTATACTAAATATTATAATAATCAAATTCATTATTATTTATTAGAATATAAAATATCAAATATTATGCAATTAATAGTAAGAATTTAGAATTACGTAAATACGATGAACTACCACGCTACTACGGGTATTATACTATTATTTACACCGACGAGCCAAGTTATCGCTGTAATTCTATGAATAAATACAAATATAATAAGTAATAATATTAATAATGATTAGGTATAGGTTAGGTTATAATATGTCCTGTATGGGTAGGTACTGAGTAAATTGTTATATTTTTCTTTTATTAATGAGATGGTTACCCCTATAACATTTCCATATGTAATATAATATTTTCTGTGAATATGCAATATAATAACTTACTATTATTATAAATTATTATTTACTTAAATATATTTAATATTTTGGGTTTTTTTTTATATAATTAATTTTACAAAATTGAATGTATTTTAAATATGTGGTTTGGGAAAAAATTAACTTAGTGTGCCAATAAAATTAATTAACTCGTTAAGTTACTGAATAACATGGGGAAAAATGTAACTCGTTAAGTTAGAAGTTACTCCTAAAAAAAAGTAACTCGTTAATGCCCAGCTTTGATTGTGGCTCTCATAATACAAAATAAATATGCATTAACATTCAACATTTATTTAAATTATTGATTAAATACATCCAATGAGTTATTGTATTGTATGTTTAACCCATATTACTGATGAGTGTTTAAAACAAAACTCTTATAACTATTTAGTAGGTAAAGTGTTAATATTAAATATCATTTTAATTATATTGTGTAACTTATATATTTTTTTTTTTGGTTTCAGGTGGATTTTGATGGAAATCAAGTTAACACATTAATTGGTGAAATGAACATAATACGATTAACATTAGAAAATGCTGGTACAATACCATTGCATAAAATCTATGTGTCAACTTCAATTGAAGATTCATTTTTCTCAGAATCAAATCATTCTTGCAAAAACAAAAAAATTCGAAGTTTGTTAATTCAAATGCCTCCAAATTCAAAAAAGTCTGTAGAATTTTGCTTCAATAGTCCAGACACAGAAACATTTAGCCTTGATTTGTTATTTTATTATGAATCTCAAATTGAAACTAAAAAACAAGAGTACAGATTATGCAGGGCTAGCTGGTTTATGACAGCAAAACCTTGTGTTAGGTTATCTGCTTCTGCGTTACTTGCCAACCAAAACAGTGAAACGCTTAATTTAAAAACAATTGTTCATAATTTATATAAGGTAATTTTTTTTTTATTTCAGTTGAAAATATTTTTTTATTTAATCATCATTTTAGGGAAATGAAGTAGAACAAGTAAAACTAAAGCAAGTATTCTTGTACAGTCCAGAATGGACACTATCTAAAAAAATATACCCTCAAGGAAGTATAAAAGATTTGGATCAACAACAGTCATGTCATTTATTCTTACAAGCTTGTCGAACAAACAAAAGTGGCATTTCCAATATTAATTTTGATAATGAACAATTTCCTCAAACTGATATGTGTGAAAAATTTGTTTCAACAACAAAATCACTTACAAAAGAAATTAAAATGCCAAAGTTTGATAGACACAAAGTTCAAACAGAGGTGTTGAAATGTATTGATCTCGTTTTGGCCATTTTATGGCAGGTAATTTCGATATTTTTATTTTTATTGTATTCCTTTTTATATCTTTTATTCTATTTTCAGGTAATAATCAAAGATCATTCAAATCAGTTGAGAATTATTTGTGGGATTCACAGGGTTTCGTTGACAAAATTAAATTTAAGTGTAGCATGGCCTGAATTTGGGTGTTTAGATGTGTCAAAAAATATCTCCAAGCCAATAGGAAGATTAAAAATATTTGGACCTGATCGAAATATACATCCATATGATGGGACACCTCTACCTAATGATGCAACAGGATTGTTAGAGTCGCCCATGAATCGCTTAATCAATATTGCTTTTTCACATCCTAGTACCGTTTCACATTCCTTTAATGACAAAAAGTAAGTTTTTGATAGGTATATAATTCTTCTTTATCATTCATAAGTTATAACTTATAAATTATGAAATTTAAAAATGTTATAAGTTAATGCAAATGTAATAATAATTTTTATTATTTCAGAATGTGTATTGTATCTGTACAAATAATACTTAAGAACTGTGTTGAACACAAAATTGAAGTTAAAATTGATACTAACACAGCTAGTTGTTTAAAGTAAGTAACAAAAATATTTGCTATTTTTTCCCTAGGTATTTATGTATTTGGCTGATTTAATAAAAATATAAAATTTGTCAGATTACCTAATGCACCAGGATATTTCACAAAAATATCACTTGACTTGTTAAATTAATAAAATCTTATTATTTATAACTTATTATCATACAATTTAAACAGAAATATAATAGACATTTTTCTTTGTTTTCAGGTCGGATGTTGATGATCAACATTTTTGTTGGATCGGTGTTATTAATCCAAAGCCGTTTTTCTTGCCAGTTTCGGCAACGCACACTATTCGCTTATTCGCTGCAGTTGCTTCTCAAGGGTGTTATAAAACGACAGCTAAACTTGATATACTGGCACGACCTTATCCACCTGCTCAACATGCATTCCTATCCCAAATCATTTCATCTTCTTCTTTATTAGTCATTAAAGACCCTAAATCTGAGATAACAAGTTAATTGTTACTACTTCACTTAGGTCTTAATCTATGTTATATTTTTAAAAAAAGTTACGATAAAAAAATCATATATTATATTATATAGTAATAAAAAAAAAATTATTATTATGAGTATTGATTTTCCATTATACCGTCGATCGTATCTTTTATCGTACCAAACTTCGGGCGGTTGGCCGGGTTCGCATGCCAGCACGCAAGCATGACTTCGTACAAACTGTAACAGCACAAAGTGGGCCTAGGCATACGGTAACCACTGCGCAATTCTTCGTATATCCTGGACGAACTTATCGTCGGGTACGGAGACCCTCCCAACATCATGATTTCCCAGAGAAGCACACCAAACGACCACACATCACTCTGAGTGGTGTACAACTGGTACTTGAGTGACTCCAGGGCCATCCATTTGACTGGAAGTGGATCTCCACGGTTCGACTTCTGGTAGAGATTCTGTTCGTACACGTCCCGGCTAAGGCCGAAATCACAAATCTTTATCGTGCGATGGTCGCTGAGCAGTACGTTCCGGGCGGCTAAGTCCCTGTGCACGACTCGGTTGTTTTCCAAATACAGCTAGAGTTCGCATAAAATTAATGTATATATGAGATATTATAATCTTAATGTTATGTAAAATTGATTGCTTCACGATCCTAGCTCTCATTATTTTCGATGTACTTGCCACTCTACTCGCTCACATAGAGCATGTTCCAACCCTGTTCCAACCCATAGGTGCCAACTATCTTAACATTTTTCTTCAATCGTTCGTACGATATAGGTTCCTGTTCCTACTATAGTACCTACCTACTAATTACTATTTTACTGTATTAGTGTATTACAATTTTGTTATAACCTCTAGCGACGGCGCCCCTTCGAGGACTCAGAATTTGGCGCCCCGGGGCAATTTCTCCTTTTGCCCCCCCCCCCTAAATACGCCACTGGGTATGAATATTAACAAATAATAAAATAATAGAAACTGCAGGCTCCTTACCATGCCGTTTGCCACTTGGCTGGCGAAACGCAACAAGTCATCCACCGTGAGGAATACGTTTTCATCGCCGTGGTACAAGTAACAGTTGTTGAAGACGACCATCGGTGGTGGCGGACCCGTCGTGTCCTGCATGGATTCGACCACCTTGCTATTCGCTGCAGCAGTCAGCTCTGCCGGATTCGTTCGGCCGACGTAAAAGTCGTTGGCGTACCACGATTTGATGCTGACCTATGCACGATAACCCCAGACGGTTAATTTTGCATGAGCTTTACACCGAGGGCGATAGTCGTCCCTCTTATCCTCAATAACATGTATAGGAAATTGTAGGCGGACCGTGGGGAGGGTAGGACAATTGGCCTGCCCAAAACATTCAACTTAAATATTTAATGTTGAGTACACATGGGTCATGGATATTTGTTTTTTAGATTCTTGTGTCTTTGGTAAAAACATTTTTTAAAGTTATTTTTATTATTATTTTTTTGTTTGGACTCTGAATCATTAGCTAAAATACTGGGAAGTGAGAATGTAATTTATATATTTTTTAATGTATTACATTTTCTGGAATTCAAACATTTTTTTAAAAAATAATCCAGATCTTCTTAGAAACTATAATATTGTCTGCTCTGTAAGCGTGCATTGGCGTTCTCTGGATGTATAGGTATATTTTATACAATAAACCTATAGCTGCCTTAATTTATTTAGGTACCCAAATTAAAATATATCTTAAGCAATTAAACTGTACTCATCAGATTTACTAATTTTGAGTGAACGTTTTAAGTCTGATCAATATGACAAGATTGAAGATGAAGTAATGGAGTCCCAAATAATATGATTGTTATTAATTATTTATAATAATAATTACTTTAATCTAAAATTATAATAGGTATATTTCAAAGTTTCAACCGTTTCTTTAATGTTATAGGTATAATTCGTTAAAGCACGATTGAGATATGTGACGTTGCCACATTCATGTTGCCGACATTTTATAACAAATAATAAAATAATAATAAATAATAAAATATTCATACTTGCAGGTTACTGCCAATCTATGCCAATCTACTGCCAATAATAAGAAATTAAATTGATATACCTTGGGTATCTGTTTCCAAGTTTGCTTAGATATAAATGATATAATAGTAGAGATTCCATATTCGTATACGATTTGAATAGGTATTCGTTGAAGGCTTTTATGTTAAATTCTAGTTTTTTAAAATTTATTTAACGGATTGTAATATTTGTAATTGTGTGGTTTTATGTTGAATTTAATTAATCCTATTCAACTTTTCTGTTTGTGTTACGAGCAATACCCTAACGGCCAAACGATTCCATGAAAGTTAAGGTGAGGTGAATAAAACTGAGAATTATCAATTATGTGTTTTGCGATAAAAGCTTTCAGTATTCAGTTACATTGTTAATTTTACGAAATTAAATAAAATACAACAGAACTTAACATGAAAGTTCTTTGAAAATAAAATAATTGTTTGTTTGGCGAATTAAATTCAGCCCAAATACTCGGCAATAATAATAACAATAATTGGCAGTGATTTTCAATATAGCTGTGTAGATTAAATGTAGTCAGAAAATATAGAATCGTCGTCATGTGGAAAAATTGGTATTAATTCGTGAAATGCATCAAATAATACTTGTTAATACTATTTCAGCAATGTGAATGTGGCAACGTCGCATAAAATATATTTTATGCCCAATCGTGCTTTAAGCCTTTACCGAAGCGTATATGATGGTGAATGATGTGCATTTTCTGTAAAAGGTCAGCACCGACCGTAGTATATATCAAGCGTGTTGTTTAAAGGCTCTGCAAAACTGAACGCGTTATAACGCCCGGTTAAAGCGGTAAATGGATCGTCAGCGTGGTGCTTTGGTGAGCGTGAAAAACGCCGCGTTGTAACAAATTACAAAATCACGTGACGTGAAAATAACGCTTTCCGTTTGACAGAGCCTTAATAATCTAACCTTTCTCAGGTAAGTCTGCAAGTCACCCAACTGACAGTACTCGACGACCAGCATGCATCGTCGGTTGGCATCCAGACAACATCCGATCATGGACACAATGTTCGGATGCTTGCCTACCTTCTGCATGAGCAGTATCTCACGTAAAAACTCGTCCAAGTCTCGGCTGCTGGGTCGGTCCCGGAGTGACTTGACGGCCACCGAACACATACGGCCATCGGCCGTCTTCAGCGTGCCCTTCCTGACCACGCCGAAGTGGCCGTGACCCAGGAACACGTCGGACACGGTGATCGCGTCATCGTCCAGCAACACGTCCAAGTCGTCTAGCCCTTTGAGCACGGTCATGTCATAACCGTCCGCCGACGCACCGCCCTTATTGTTACCGCAATCCGAGCCGGCCACCGCGCGCCGGTGCAAGCGCCGCCCAACGACTAACGCCGCGCTGAACACCAACAAACCGAGCAGCGTGACCGTCGTCCACGGCGGATAGAACAATAATTGGGGCGAGATCGTGGTGGAATCGGTCCCGTTGATGCTGCGCTGCAGAAGCACCACGAAAAAATGGCTTTGGCCGATGCGTGAAAATGCCTGCACACTAGCAAAGCACCTGTCGCCAAGCGGTATGTCGTAGAACGACGCCACGTACTCAGAGACGCCCGATGCATTCTTCACAGTGTTCGGTGACGCAATTATGTAGTCCTTGCCTGACACGTTCTTCGCCTCTTTGTCCAACTTGACCGTGAAGTAGTCTACGCCCCGGCCATCAGTGTTCGGACTTTTCCAGCTCACCTGGGCGTCATATCTGCCCTTATGAGTGCTCCCCACTGACGGTTTGTCGGACAGCTTAATGTCGTACGGTTCCCCCGGAGCTATAATAATAATATAGTATGATACATCGATACAGTACTATATTGGGTTGACGGTTTTTTCGGTAACCAGTTAACCGGTGAGTTTATTTGTGAGTTTAAAATTACCTACTTGTAATCTGAATATACCTATCTAAATTTTGAATTCTGAAATTATAGGTAGGATATTTATAAAAATTATTGAATAGAAAATGGTGGTTAAAAAACCACATAGTGACTATAACATTGGGAAAATCCTGAAAATTCTAATAGGTACGATATGAAATATAGTTCTCTCAAAATTGAGCTTTGCATCCGTCATTGATTAAAAATTAACCATAATTAATAAATACCTAACTATAGGAATACCTACCTAATGTCAAAAACTGCAAAATAAAAATTAATTAGGTAGGTATTTAAGAAAAGATTCGTACCTATTTGTTACTATATAGTTGAAAATGAAACATACTAGTATTTTTAGATAGCTATTAAAGTACATCGTCACAAAAAAATATTATCCTGTACAACATATGTTGTAATGTTGTTGTCTGCCTATTATGTATAAACTTGTCAAATTTCTGTACTTACGACACGAGTTCAAATTGAAATTGTTGAATTCGATACACACCGGCGTTGAGAATATAAATTCTACCTTTGTGCCGGAGATGGTGATTGACGACTTTTTTTTGAACTTATAGTACGGCTGTATTGCGAGCGTGTATGCCCTGTCCAGAATCAAAGCGTTTAATGTGTAAGCGTACGACTCTTTGACGTCCACATAACGAGTTGTCAACCCTTCGGATACACAGTTCGAGTGGTAAATGATTTTGTAGTGACAATTCATATCTATAATAATTTCAATAAAACTCGTATATAATTATAATATATATATATTATATTAGGTATATATTATGTACCTATGTATTGCAATTTGGCATTTTCCGTATTGGAAATAACAATGGCAATAAGATCCTTGCCTTAAAAACCTATTCCTATATTTTATTCCCTGGTCCTACTTCCTAGTGGGTCATGTTTGGTTAAGATGTCGGCGAAATATTTGTTTTCCCTTTCAGACTCCTGAGCAACATAATTAAAACACTTTCACCTATAAAATCGTTTGTTTTTTTTTTTTATGATTTTTGAGTAATTTTATAGCAAAATCACATTTAATCACCTATGACCTATTACAAAAAATATTCTCCAATGTTTTTGTAATGGATTTCTCTAAGGACTAGGATTACTCAAAAACACAAAAAAAAATTATTCTACGTAAATGCGTTTTGTTTATGTTGTGCGTGTATGCCCCACCAGAGAGAGGAAACAAAGAGTGTGCTCTGACATCCTCAAATATCCTGGTTGTGGATTTTTGATGGAATATGAAAGAGAAGGATCGACATCCTACGTTCGTTCATTTTTTCACCGGCAAAGTCTCGGGTTATACCTACAGCTAGTAGTTAGTACTAATTGTACTGTACTATATTACATAACTGATAACTATAATAATATATGTACTCGTATTATTATGTCCAGTGTGGCAACTGACAGTGTATATTATAAAATATATCCATTATCATTATGTCATTTTTAAAAAAATTCAAAAATTTCTTTATTAGGTTTAAGCCTTAGGCTTGAGGTAATTCACCTGTAAGGTTGGTAGGGTTGGGAAGGTTGGTACTGTTGGTTAGGAAGACGTGTATGTGTAGCAAGGTTTTTGAGCACTACGAACCCGGGTGGTCACCCATCCGAGAACTAGTGGCAGCGGCGGTTCCTTAATCTCAATCACGTCACGTGATTGATTTCAACCACTGCGCCTCACCGAGCCACACTCATTATTATTATTAGGTCGTGTACAGTAGGTTTTTGTAAACGACCCATATTATAGCTTATAAGTTATGTTATATTATTTATATATGTTATACGTATGTACCATTAGACGGCGTCCAGGTGAGTGACGTGTTTAGTGTAGAATCGCTCGTCACTGTAAAATTGGAAATGTTGATCGTGTGCACCAATCCTTTATTTTGTCCAACGTCCAACGTCTTGTGGACTTGCGTATCCGCTGCGTGATACGTAGTGCCGTTGATCAACTTCCGGAATCTAGAAGCGTACTCGGTGTTTGGCTTTAGACTGTTGAATCGAATGTTTGTCAAATTCGCCTGGTACACGCATAATATATATATACAAATATATATGTTATATTGCCTACAATGCACAGATATCTATATAGGTAGTTAGTATAGATATCTGTGCTACAATGGTGTGAAACTGTGTCGTTATTTGTGATACCTACTATATAATATATATTAATAATTATTTTTATTTTTATTTGTCAACCGTTTCTATTAACCATTAGGTACAAATCATGCCACGAAAATTTGAGTGGTTCTTTGAAAAGAAAAAACTATGATCTATTGTGTAAAATATAAAATGAAAAAACTTCGTTTCCCCTCTTCACAAGATAGGTTGGTAAGAAATTTAGAATAAAGAATTCAATAATTCTTAAATTCTTAAATTGTCATGTAACATGTAAGTATAACAAGTCCAGTCGATAAAGAAAAGTGACTTTTGCACCAAAAAGCCTGCAGACGAAACTGGAGGAATTTGGTTTAATAGGGTTTAATTTTGTAAACGGATTATGATTGATTAACATGTTTACTAGGTTTCCGTAGAGGTGATTTTTAATATTCCAATTACTATTATTGTCATAATCAAGCCAAGATTAAGGATTAATTGGGTCCCGGGACACCATACACTTATAGTGGGCCTCATAGGTGCAAATTGGAGAGGGGGATTGGGGTGCTAAGCCACCCCCAAACTTAGCCGTAGCCCCTCCAAAAACCTAGGACATAAAAATTTTATTCTATGCTATATTGCAATGGTCTGCTTGCCTTTAATATATTCAGCCCCTCCAAGCCACAAGTTTAAATTGCGCCTATGGTGGGCCCCCTTTCAAATTTAACTTCAAAAAATAAAATTGTTTTACTATATTTTTACGTCTGTATAAAATAGTATAATTTTGTACTATATATTACCACGTACAATCTTCAATCATAGATAATAAAGACTATCATCTATGCGTATTGCGTACGATGTAGTTCACAACTCCCATTTTATAAACTTCATCATAGAATATCAATTTTATATTTATTATAATTTACCTAGTAATTTTTCATGATATAAAATATTTTGGGGATAAAAATGGGCCCTCTATTTATAACTAATTTTAAATTTCCTATGTATTGCATTTATTTAATTTCTTCATAAACAAAGAATGTGAAATTTAAAATTTACTTTCAAAAGTATCTAAAAGTCAGATGCATACATTTGATATACATGTTGAAGCTTTTGTACATTTTAAACTCTGTATTATAATATTTTAATACAATTTATTTAATCTGTGATTACTGATTAGTGTTTACTACGTAAAATTTCTTTCACTACTAGTTCTCGCTTCTGTTGATTATTTATTATATATTTGTCTTGTACTATTTTAATAATATTATGATGCCAAAAAAAAGTTAAGTGGACATCCAGACCGTAAACAAACTTTGTTAAAAAACAAAAAACCACTTATGTTATTAACAAATTCAGAAAAATTCAAGACATGTTTCAAAAAATATTATATTAATTTGTATAGTTTATAGGTAATATATATAGTTGTATTAACTTTATTTTTATTTTGTTCATATTAATAATATATTAATCATTAATGTGATCCATGAAGTAAATAGGTACATATATAAATATATAAATATGTAAAAAAAAACAACCTCTATACGATATATATTATAAGCAGGGCTTAAGCAGCATACACTCAATTGTATCTTTGTGGTGGGGGATGAGGAGGAGGAGGAGGAGGATTAGTAAAATGATTAAACAATACTTTTAAATAACATCATACATTATTGTAAAAAAAATATTCTTTTCTTTGTTAAAAATCTAAAAGGTTCATGAGGATTTATTTCCCGTGGTTAAGCCCCTTAAGGGGGTGCCAATTTTTTTTTACACTTTGGCGCAAAATGTCTAAATGCGGCACTGGCCTCCATCATCATATTATCAGTGCTTTGATTCATTATCTTATAAATCAACTCATTTTGTTGCTAGAATATATAAACTTACAATTTACTGCGGTACATGGGTTTTTTACATTGCGGTATATAGTCTATACTATACCTACATAAACATTAAATAAATTTAATTTATATTTTTTAAAAATACCTCTAATATCAAATGAGTGTCCATAGTATCGTGAGATATTAATTCCACAACTATTTTAACACCGTCAATTTTATTCTTCGTAGTCCAAACGTAAGTTAATGAATCAACTTCACGGCACAAAATACGCACATTGTCTAATACATTTATGTCATCTGGAATATACATTTTATTCTATAGTAAAATTAATAATTATATATAGGTATAAAGTATAGACTGAGTACCTAACTGTTTTATTATATTCTCAATTCCGAAAAGTATTAATATTTCTGAACTTTTATTTTTGAAAAATGTAATTTCTATAGGTAGGTATGCAATTTTAACATTTTGTTCAACCTTATTAGTTATTATACATCATATCTCACAAGTCACAAGGTAACTATACTATAATATAATACCTACCTATCAATTTTGAATGGTATCTAATCAACAATTTTTTTTATGATCTGAAGCAGAATCCCAGTATAAAAGAATTTAAAAAATGAAAGTAGATATTATAGGTAGGTAAGTATACTATATAAACATTGGATATTGAACGAACAATATTCTTTATTATTAATAACTTAATGTTTAGTTGAGCGAGGAGCGGTGTGAAATGGAATGGGATAACCAAAAAACTTGTATTTTACTACTTTATTTGTCTGAACTTTGGATGCTTAAATGTGTTATGCTGCTAAAGTATTATTATGTTCATACATTAATCTTCATTTTTATTAGATGAAGATATATTAATTCATATAATTTATAAATACCTATATTCAGCTGTGTACTGTTGCATGTGACATTTGCCTGAAAAAAAAAACACCTTTTGTATTATATCATTATTTTTCACAATAAAAAGTGGTACCCTAGGTACATTTTTATTTAGTAATTTATAGTATATCCAGTGGCGTGCCCAGGAGTGGGGGAAGATTAGGTGTTGTATCTCCCTCCCATTGTCGCAAAAATACCCTTATTTGTGTCTTTGGTATTACCACCAGAATTTATTTAAATGTATTATTATTTATTACTTACAACTCCCCCCCACCACTATTGAAAATTCCAGAGAACGCCAATGAATCTACCTACATACCTACTATATTATATACAATTAAAATCTATCTATTTAATTTAATTTACCTTTTATTGAAATAATATTATATATTACATAAAATATGAGTATTAATAGGAAAATAAATACTAATGATATCGGACTATCGGAGGAACGTACCTTGACCTTCAAACTACTTATTGTATTTTTATGAATTTACGATATTTGTATAGAAAGATAATAATTTTATTTTAAAAACTTAACCTAAATGTCATAAAATATAATAGGAGTACGTGCATTTGTCATTTAGATAGTTTAAACTTTCCTCCTTGCTTTCAAAATCTCCTACGAGACTTTAAAACTCATTATATAAAAAAAATTCTAACAAAACCATAAAAACTTTAGGTTCTTAGTGATTTCAGAAATTAATTTAATAGGAATATTTCTAAGCTTTTACCAAAACATATAGAAATCTGACTCTAATAATATTGGGTCAAGATTCAAGATTTTCAAAAAGTCAATCATAGCTAGGATTTATGAAGTACATCAATACTTTATGGATGTCACGGTTTTAAAATAGATAGCTAATGATAGAGAAATGAGAAATTGTTATATCATTGAAGGGTAAGAAAAAAAAAATCCTCAACCGTTTACATAAAAAAATATCCTTAAATAAGTGAAAAATTATAATTTTTACTAGAGATATGGCATATGGGTGTGATTATAAGTATCAGAGTATTTTAAAATAATATGAATTTTAATATTAATAGACAATAGTATACAATTAAATGTTAAGAATTATATAAAACTATTAAAATGTGTATGATCGGCATATGATGTGTGCTAAAGTACATTTTATATAAATGTATATACCTAATACTCAAACGGGAAATAAAATCGGTATGCGATAAATTTAAATACAAAAATAATCACCACAATAATAATAATGACATTATTTTTTTAAAATATTATTCAATTTTTTTTTTAAATCTGATATTTGAGAAATATGACCTAACTTTGCACAAAAACTACAAAAAATTGACCTAAAATATAAAAAAATTAGATATGTAAAAATGTAAAAAAATTATGTTAAAAAACAAAAAATGCATTTATAGCTAAAAATGCCTAAAAATCCAAAATAAAATAAATATTTACTATTCTGAATCAATTAAGCATGAAACTAATTTTTGACTAAGATAGCATTATATGGGATCAAAGGAAAAACAATGAAAAATTCAATCATTGGATTGTTTTAATGGTACAATACAAAATACTGTTGTAGACTTGTAGATTATTGATATTATGCATTGCATATAATATTATTATGTGTAGATAATAAATTGTGACAGTGGAATCAATCCATTATGCATTTCTAATAATATTGATTGGATAGATATAATATGATATTATATTGATATGTATATACCAATATATACGCTCTATTGCCTGATGCATATAGTGTAATGTTAAATGTTTTATTTTTCTATATTGCAATAAGCGCATGTAGCCAAGGTACTATTATGTAATACAAATATGAATTTGAAATTTGTTTATTTGAAATTCAAATTTAGATACAAGTCAATTCAAAGAAAATTCGATTAACATTATGCTTTTTAGTAGGTATCTACTTATGAGCTATATTATAAAACTAGAATAAACTACAGAATACGTATAATTTGTAGGTATACCATATACCGACTATAATATTACTAGCAATATAATATAACTTATAGTCTATAGAAGTACCTGATTTAAAACTATTTGTAAAAAATTATAATTTAGTAAGCATAATATGCCTTTAAATAAGTGAACAGTGTAGGTACCTACATAACGCAGTTTAGGTATTGTCGGTATATATTATTATAGCATTGAGTATAGATACTCATATAGATATTAGTTATAAAAGCTAAGGCGTATATAAATACGTTAAGGAGCAATTTTTTTCTATACTTTGAAGTTCGAGGCCAACTGATAACACACTCATTTTTTCCAATAATAAAATACTCATAATAGCTTGTAAATACATATTATGAATGGACGTAGGTAATTAACATATATATTCACTGTCGTATGGCTGATACACATACAATATTTAGTTTCCACACTAATCACTATAACATACAAATATACAATATAATATTTAATCAATATTGATAATTTGGGAAAGTTGTCGTTAAATAAATCAGTCTTCGAAATATAAATAATAAAAAAATGTACCAAGGTACATATTGGTGCTTAAAAATGAGCAACAATAATTAATCATAACAATTAGGTATTATAAATTATGAAAAAAATTATGTTTATATTTATAAATTCTTAGGTGTCCCAGACTTAAGTTCATCTAAATGATATGTTCGTGTATTAAATTATATCGAATTACCTATACATAATATATAATAAATGATAATGATTATTTACATGCCGTGCTAAAACCATGTTATCGCAACGAAAAGTTTTACGACTTAATAATTATCAACCTAAAGTGTAGGTACCTTAAGTATCTATTTAGTATTTACGACAAATTGTACAGTGACCAATTTATTGTCTTTAAAACTTATTGTGTTTAAACTCAACACAACTATGCTATCTCACTGTGGCAGTGTCACTTTAATATATATCATACATCATATATGTCACTATACTATAGACTTAAGAGCAATCGTGGGTCTAGAATCAAAAGGTTCTAAATCGTTTTTATGAAATTGTCCAGGAGAACAATTTTAAGATTTGCGTTCAAATATTTTACTCCTTGAACAACATTTTTTGAAAATTAAAGTTCTAAGGCATGTAGAAACTTGTATAGTTTAATTCACACCATTATAATAACAATTGTCTGTATTTGGTTGACAAATTAATAAAATACAAATTATAAAATGTTTAGTATGGAAAAAAATATATTTAATTAGTACTTTTTCGTTCTTATTTATTGTTTTTATTATTGTTAGCTGAATCCTTTTCTGAATAATGATTTCTCATTGTTACCAATCTTCTATCAAGAAACAATGTAATAATTATGAAATATCGAAATCTGTATCATAAAATTCTGTTGCATATTGATAAATGTAATAATTATTGGTAGTGATTAATGTAATTAGAACGTTTTCATACTAACATATTGTTAATAATTTGGTTCCATTAACCAAGCGTTTTAAATTTGATTAAATTGTGTTTATATTTTATAATTTAATTTTTGGAGATTTAGAACCTTTTACTTTTAAAAAAATTGTCAATAATGATCGTATAATCATAAACGTTAGCTTAAAAGATGCACCTTTGCAATTCTAAAACTATTTTAGTTAAAAAATGACTTTTGAAAAAAATGCTATTTAGAACCTTTTCAATCTATAGACCCACGCAATATCTATTATCCAATAATTGTGTCCTGAAAATGTAAAATTGTATCCCCAATAAGGTAAATTGTACAATGTACCTATATACCTATATAATTGTATACACGTATGAAATAACACATTTACTCATTTAATAAATATACTACTCCTGTCGGCTGTCACATCAGTATGGTGTCAGTATGATCATAGTAACATTTTATATTTATAAAGCTGGTAGCAAGTATAATATGCCTGTACAAAATTGAATTAGTCACGGCAATGTGGCGAATAGTGATAGTTGGAAACTGATTCAGGTTTCAAAATTCAGTATCGAAAAATTATTAAAATACTTAATATTACACATGGGTACCTACAGGCCCGGCTCAAGGGGTAGGCGACATAGGCCCACGCCTAGGGAGGCACATAAGCAGCACTTTAGTAAGAGGGCGGTATTTTCAAAATACTGATAATATTATATTATTAGGGGCGGCAAAATTTGATTTCGCCTAGTTCACTATTTTCGCTTGAGCCGGTCCTGGGTACCTACGTCCCAATATCTGTTGTGACTTGTGAAATGTACGTACCAATAGCTATTGTATAAATATAAGTTAAGAATAACACATTTGCAGCGTATAGAACTGCACAAGTTATAACAAAAACTAAACCTAACTTTTTATTTATTCATACTATAGGTAGATATATTATATTCTGCGATCTACCTAGCATCATCATCACTCTCTAAATTTCAAAGTGTATCACAATCACAGAATCCACCTTGACCATGGAATAACTGCCACTGAGCTACTGTATCTAATATTATAATTCAATTATATAGCTCACGATCTAATTAGTTACGATTAGACATTACAATAAACGAATAAAGCGAATGACTTGGGATTAAACCTAAGGTTAAGGTTGAAAATAATAATTGATTTAATTCAATTTATAACGGAGATTAATGAATCTCGACGGAATAATCATTATTGAGAAGGGTGCATTATTAATGTTCAGAAAATGTGGCCATAGGTATATAACTATGGTGTTTTAATGTTTCATACAATAGTTTTAATCAATTTTTTAAGTGAGTATTTTGAAATAAAAATTACAATGGTTTTAGGTACAATAGTGGCTATAAATATTTAAATTTAATTAATTTAAGTACAAACTCAGTGTTAATAAGTAAACAATAATCATAATATATTAGATTATTAGGAAGATGGAAAATATAAAGATTCTAATTTTTGAGCGTAGCAAGAAATAATTTTTTTGTTATAACTATATAGTACAATATACATTGGCCTGCTGAAGATATTTTTGGCCTTCCTTGTTAGCATACTTTTAAAAAGGTGAAATGACGCCCCTGGCATCTGCCCCCCCCACACCCCACGTTAAAATATCTTTAGAATATATTACTTTATTAAAATATTATATAGTGTCATAATATATATTTTTTCCTCACCCACTTTCCTACATTTGATGTGCCTACATATTATAACTAGGTATAATACATTTACCTACCTATTACTAAAATGAAAAATATTTTTATTAAAACAAATTACAACATTTAGGTACTTATATTATATATTACCTATTTATAATTGTAACAGTCGATTCGAAATTGGAAATTTATAAAAATACACTACTATCGAGTATCAACTATATTAGTATATTCTTGACAAATTGAAATGTTATCAGTAATATAATATTATAGATACCTATTGTAATTAATAATTTGTAATACTTTTATTAAACCTATATTATGTTCTGTGGATGGACCTGAGTATCTACTGTGAATAACATGTGAACAATGAATTGTTTTTTCAACTTTATAAAAAAATTCCTTCAAACTTTACTGTATTAGAAGATTAGATAATTAATAAAGGATTTAATATATCAATTAAAATACACATTTTTGGTAAGTCACCCCCAAATTGCGTCTATGCTTAGTAGCATTGTAACAAAGTATAATAAAGTATTAAATCGGGTGGTTAACATATAGGTATACCTACCAACCTACTATTTACTACGGAGTACGGCTATTACCTAACTAATACATTGATTGTAAAAATGTTAATTACAGGATAAGAAGGTACTTACAATTTTAATTGCTTTCAGATTGCGACAAAATTCATCTTCGTTCCAAAAATTTTGGATTGCGGCAGCCGCAGTTAGGGCTACGCAATATAAGTATAGACACATCAATGCATACATACCGAATGGAAAAATCTGACATTAAAAATCCTAAACTGCGCTGCCGATCTCTCATATTATGTAAATCAGGCGATATTCAAATATCTGTGTAAGTGTATACAACAATGAAATACGACACTGTACACAAGAATTTATTTAAAATAATGGATACATTATAAGGGTAATGTTTTTAGATTATGGAAATAAAAAACTATTTATACATGATGTATATAATATTTTATTTCATTTTCATAATTTGATAGATATATATTATACCTATATGGCTATGTAGATTGTAGGTAGGTAATAGTTTCACAATTCATTCTGTTTTTTATTACCTGTGTCTGTTCGTTGTTATAGTGTAAACACTTTTTTCGAAGAAGATTTAATGTGGTTAAAGTTTCATAATAAGGGGACCAATATTAATTATTATATATAATATCTAGTACACTTCTATACATCATAAATGTCTAAAAACTTTTTGTATCTCGGGACCAATACTATCCTTGTATATATTTTTTTATTCAAGTAGTTTTTAGTACTTTTATTTTAATTTTGATATACAAATTAATTTGAACTTTTTGTACAATTTAAGATTGGGCGTTATAAATTATTATAATTTATAGAATGTATTATATAATAATACATTCTACGTACAATATTCATTATTCAGTATAATAACTTATAAGAAAACAACTAACAAGTTAGTCTTGTCTTAAAGCCATATTGCCATGTTTTATATAGGTACTTACCTACAGTTTTATTTAGTTTATTACAATTGGCTGAATTTATAAGTTTCTATATAGTGATTTTTAACATCAACAAATATTTAAACAGGAAATTCACTCAATGTGAAAGAAATCAACTAAAAATTATATTTATAGTACCTAGGTAGGTACTTGAAATTTACTATGCATTTTAAAACATTAGACAATTATTATAAAAGTCAACAATCTACGTTTTAATTGCTCACAAATCAAGATCGATAGATTTACCTAATTTTTAAATTTTTAAATTTGTATTTTATTGATTTTAGCAAGCCTGGACAAGTTAATGATAATTATGAATTCAGTTTAGTTAAGTTGATAGAAAGAAATTTAAAAAGTTTAAAGTTAATAGTTATCCCAATTTTTTTTAACTCAGTTAAGTTAAAAGTTATATGGAAACTTATTAACTTAAGTTTAGTTATTTATTTTTTTAATAAATAAATAGCCAGTAATATGGTTTAAAATAATAAAAGAAGTAAATATTTATACAAAAATATGTATCATCAATAATAATTTTAATTATATTTATTATTTCATTATTTATAAATTAACGTAGGTAATTTGGATTTGATTGAAAGTAACTCGTAATTTATTAAGTTTATGTCAACAAAAATCAGTTAATGAATAGGTATTGACATTTTAAAAAGATAAAAATTAATAAAAAATTATTACTAAAACTACTATAAAAACTAGGAATACAATTCAAAATAAGAAATTAATAATTAACTCTAGGAGGAAAATGTTCGTAGTCTTGCAATTTAAAACTCCTATAAGTGGATTATCGTGTTGCAGTATATGCAGTTATACCTACATATACATTATATACATACTCACGCATGTGTCGTAACTATATACAGTGGCGCACACTGGAGGGTAACCTATGATTTTTTTGGTAGAAAGGTGTGTGGACCCTCTAGCCACAAAATATCTACATTATAAAAATTCTACTACGGATAAAAATATTAAAAATAAACTATTGAATAATATACAGGCTATAGCCATTAGCCTATTAGCCAATATATAGAGGTAACTGATTCAATATGCCACTATTATTTATTGTTGAGTGTGCGCCACTGACTTTATATAGAGGTAAAACACTGGATTCATTGGCAGTGGCTGAGTGGCTTGATATTAGGGGGAATAGGGGGGAGTGAGGACTGTTGTTTCCGTCTAATATATTTAAATGTCTAAATGGCTAAACGTCTATAGTCTATAAGTTATAACTGTTAACGTGTTATTTTCTTATAAAACATTGACGTTATAATCATAGCGAATATAGCAGCATTGCAGCATAATATTCAGTCGTCTGAAGTCGAGATCCAGTCATCGTCCACGGTCGAATTGATGCATCCGAATCCGGATTTCGCAGAGCTACAGACTACAAAATATGTCCCGGCCAAAATTCCGTTGGCCCGTCGTGATTTCATCGGTCCGACGACCAGGAGGTTGTGTTCAATGCCAAACATAATAGCCGTGCATACGAGTTCTGCTGCAGGCGATACACCCGTTGAGATAGGTTTGTTAAACTTAACTAAGGTAGTAAGGTGGCTTTCCATAAATCATAACACATTTTACACGTCAACAGACATTATATTGTATGACAGAATCTTATTATACAAGTACCTAAATAGTATTAATTAATTTTTCTTATAATAGAACTAAGAAAATAATATAAGTTTCCAAAATCTGAAGTCAGTGGAATTGAACAGTTTGCTCATGGCATATACGATATGAGTGTACTAGTGTACATGTCTCCCGGACTGATACAATATAATCTACCTAGTGTAATATTATTATTGTTCGCAATTTTTTTAGGATATCTTCTATTTATATAACCTTATAGTAGTTGACCAACACGATCCATTCCAACTCCACTAAAATGCCCTAATATGTAACATAAAAATGCTGCTCGTGGACCTTAATTCGCCTTACACATAATTATAATATATTATTACTTATAATAATATTCGGGATCATTTTAGCTTTATAACAAAGCTCTGGGAAAGCAATAGTTATTATTAAAAAATATAACACTTTAGCATAGATCACAAATGGAAGAAGTGCCAACTACAGTGGGAAATTCCTCGGAAGTAGAAAGATTTTATAGTCCCAATTTGGCAGTAAAAAAAAACTACACTGCAGTTGAACCCCACATCGGTCATAATATACTAGGTCGTTTTTAAATGATGTAATACTTGTGTGGCTGCGGCCTGCGAGTACCTACAGTTACATGTACATTGTACACGGAATCGAGCAGATTATAAGTAGTAAAATTATAAGTATGGAAAAATTTGTATGGAAAGTTTTTAAAAACGTTTATCAAAAACGTAATAAACAAAAAACGTTAAAAACGTTTTCTATCCCTGGAATATTTTGATCAACAATAATTTTGGACTTTTGGACCGAGTGAAATCGTATATTTTTTAACAGCTAGACAGTAGTATTCGTATATTTTAAATTATCTTGACATTGTAATCAGAATTTTAACATCATGGAATATTACACTGCAGGTGCCTGCCCAGGGCAAATGTCCCAGTTGCCACTTAAATACGGCCCTGTAAGGCTGTACCCAACCACGGAGCAAGTTGAAGAAAATGACAAACTTACATACATTATTTTTGAAACATAAGTTATTAAATAAAGAATCCAAAAAATAACCATTTGCTCTTAGTAAACTATGAATTACCTGTAAAAAAATCAAGATAATCTAACCATTGCTTGTGGCAGGTCGCAGGATAATTAATCAAACCTTAGGAGTTATTCAAACTGTGCGTCGCACAGTAAATGTATATTAAATGTTTTTTTAATGCATAAAAGTGTCTTGCTCTAATGATGCCAGACACAAATAGTAATTAAAAACATATTTTTGTCAAATCAATACACTCATCGCTCAGAATCTTAAAACGTTTAAAATTTTAGTTGTTTAATCAAGATAATCTAATTTAAAGAAATTATACTCATTTATACGTTTTAAGTGTTTTTGATAGAAAGGTTATTAGTATTATCTTTATTTTATACTGTTATAGAGTGGAAAAAAGGATGATTCAAATTTTCATTAAATTAGTAAAATGTAATATAAAATAAATATTAAATATTCTAACATTTCAACTTTACAAGATATTTTCCTTTCTTAACATTATTTTTTATATGAAGCTTGAAAACTGCTTTATGGTTGTACTTTTATTGATAATAAAATTAAGTAGAATGTGTTTATATACATATGTATTGGTGCAAAAAATTACAACAATTGTGATTCTTGTGGGTGCCAAAGATTTATTTGATCATTGTTAAAGTTTTACAATTAAGACAATTTAAGAATCACTGCATTAAGAGTTTATTTTCACTTATAGGAATATATAAATTATACATTTATTTAAGGAATATGTATAAATTATATGATAGTACAATTAATTAAAAAAACAAAAATATGTACCATCAAAACAATATATTTAACATGTATTTACAATCATTTATTAGTACGTAACATAATTTTGTACTAACAGTACAATGTTTTTAATAATATTATAAAAAGAAATAAATAACATCTGTCAAAAAGTCCACTAAAATATTCTGTACAAAATTGGAGAACTTTATAATAACTTAGGAACAAAAACTTATGCAAATTGCAATACAAAAAAAAAAAAGAAATGGTTTACAATTTAAATTTGAACACTTTTAACGAGTGGCAGTTTGAAAAATTGATTATAAAAAGATATTTGAAAAAAGTCTAAGTTCCCCCATTTTTTAAATTTTTTTTTATACTAATTATTAATTTATAGAATTATAGGTACATATTTATAAACATGGGGGCCTCCATAAAAAGGCAGTGATGAGCTATATCGTGTCAAAAAAAAAAAAACAAACAAATGATAAAACAGAGGAGACACAGATTTTGACAAAAAAATATTTATAGGTATCTATATTAATAACAATATAAAAAAAAAATTAAAAATAAACAATAAAGAACACATTATTTCTATGGTATTTGGGATGCCTAATTAATATTTTACTTACTGTACACATTTTTAAAGTAATTATTTACAATGTTAAGTACTTAATTTCTATTCAGAATATTTATTGTGAACAGATTATTTATTTGATTAATTATTATTCTAAAATCAGTAAATAGGATAACAATAAAAAAAAAGAAAAGAATAAATAATAATATTAATAAATACTAGTCAATGATAATAAAACAATCGGTAAACAAATCAAACTAAAGGCAGTTAAAAATATTGCTTAAAAATAAATTCATCAAAAGTATAATTATTATGATTATAATTTATTTTATTTTATTCAATAAAAATGTGTACTGTTGAAAAATACAATAACAAGGAACCTGTATAAAAAAAAAACTAGATTATTGTTTTTAAGTCAATGATTTAATTAGAATGAATAACATTATTTCCTATTTTGTATAAAAAAAATATACCATAATTCGGATTTTTTTTTTAATAGAAGAACAAAAAATATAATATATTGATACTATTGTTATGGGTGTGAAAAGGTTGTTTTAACAATTATAAATATTTAAAATCTAACTAATAGAGTCGTGGAAAAGACATTATAGAAAAATAAAATACTTGCGTTAAAAAAAATTGCTTGTGCTTTGAATTTCATCATCCATCCATTTGGCAGCCCATGTTTTAGCTTTAGGCCCAGTGGACCGATATTTATCACGAAAAGACTTCTTTTTATGGTTAGTGTGACGTTGATATTTTAATGGTATGTTTGGAGCAGTCACAGTAGGAGCAGGTACAGGACTATATGGCCCATCCAATGGAGCTGGTGAAAATGGGGGTGAAGGTGATGGTGGCGGCTGTAAGGCAGGAGGTGGATCACCATGACCTATACCACTATCAGGACTGGTATTAGCAGCAGCAGCATCTGAACTATTACGGCGCCGTTTATCCAATTCTAATGATGCAAATGTTACCAAGCTATCAAATCTTTCACGAATTCGATCATTCCATTTCTCATCTAAAAATAGACATTCTTTAGTAAACATAAGAATTATATAATAAATTAAAGACCAATAGTTACATTATTGTGATTAAAATATTCTGATTATTGAATTATCCAGGCAAACAATTAGTTGTTTTAATTATTTTAAAATTAATACTGTTATAATATATGGTAAGTGTAATGGCTTTTATAAATAAATAGAATATATAGAAAATTTAAATAGATTTTAGGCAGAGACATGCAATAATACTTAACACTCAGTGGCGCCGAACCTTTAACCCAAGAGGGGGCGATTGCCCCCTTTTTTTTTCAGTGGGTGGGGTCGTGGGTAACCCAACAAATTATTTATGTACGCAGCCCATATGTAAACAGGGGTGGCGGTGCGTATAATTTTTTACTTCCCGTTCTTTTAAAATATAGTTCGGCACCACTGTTAACACTAGATATTTGTTTTACAAATAACCAAATACAAATATTTAGTAATATTAATACAGTGTTGTTAAAAAGTATTCAATTTTTTTTTTATGGTATCAATTTGTTAAGAAATACTGATCAAACATAATATTATGCAACCTAAAACAAAATTGTATGGTATGGGTATAAAATGTATGAAAGGGCACTGATTTTTGAAAATATATAACCCGTTTTTGTATGTAATATAAAATATGCAAATTTTAATTTTTACAGCATACACATATTAGTATGATATGTGTTTTATAGAATACTGTCTTAAAAAAAACAAATTGCTTCTTGACTGATTGTATGTATTAAATAATATAATATTTAAAGTAACTCGATCCATATCTGTACGACTGCATATTATATTATATTTTTAAAAAATGGAAATACTAGTAAAATTAAATAAAATCTCTGTAATTTTCTTGAATAGAATATAGCAATTTAAACAATGAATTAACTACAGAATAAAACCCAGTTGTTGGTTTAAAAAAAAAAAACTTCAAAATATTATTTATATTTAAGAAGAGGACAATATCCCCCCTCCAATTTTCGAATCTCTGTCATACATGTGCGTAACATAGCTTATTTACGTTCAGTTTTGCTGGTTTTAATATTAGTGTAAATTGATACCTTATCAAATTTTAAGGTAAGAACATTAGCTATTTTAAATATTTTAATTTTTAAAACAGATGAGCAGTAAATTTAAATATTTTACGTTCATAACTTGCCTAGAAATTAAAATATTGTAAAAACTGACGTTCAAACAAAGACATTACCTAAGTGTGATAATAGGTCCGTGTTCACACTAATATTAAAACTAAAAAACATGGACTGCAGAATGTAAATTTTCTATTACGCACTTGTAAAAAGGAGACAAAAAATATGCAATAGTCTTCTTAAATAAAAAAATATATTTTGATTGAAATATTTTACATGCACCAAACCAAGAAAGGGTAAGATTTTATAAAACAATTAATTTGCACAAACAACATAAGAAACATGCCAAAATAAAATATTGTGTATTGTACAACGCAATGCAGTGCACTCACCTTAATATTTTACAATGTAATCCAAATCCATTAGGCCAGCTAAAGTCTCTATTTATACAGCTAAATAATACTTCTTGCGGCAT